TTTATGTTACCGCAATTACAGATGAACGGACAAGAGCCCCCACTCCACGCCGTTGCCCTGCGCTGTAGGCCGGGGACACTCTGCCTTCTTTCCTCTCGGTACTGCCACCGACCACCCCACTGTCTGCGGCCCTTGCCCAGCCTGACCCTGGGTCTGCCGATCTGAGTAAGACGCGGTCTTTGTCATGACGATTCAGAGCTAGTCAGACCTTATGGACGTCACCCACAGGGACAGCCATCGGCAAGCAGGCCCACAGGGGAGGGTTCTGCCTGCGACTCCCTCTGAGATAGTAACTGGGCTTGATCTTCTGGCCTAGTCCTGCAGCTTGGGGTCCTGCAGCCTCTCCCTCCGCACACCCTTCTGCTCTCCGAGGCCAGCCCTGAGGGGCTCCTGGGTTCCACGGCCACAGTCTCCTCCCTGAGGTCCTCCAGCACCCAGTTTGCCTTGCCCGTACCCCTTCAGGCAGCCTCGGCCATCACTTTTGCTTCTCGTTGTGTGAAAGGAGGCAGAGTAGCCTAGTGGTCCAGAGACGGGTCCTTTTCTTTGCTCAGACCTGCTTGGTTTCAAGTCCTGCCTCAGCACTTGCTGGGTATATGGCTTTGGGCATCACTTAAGCTGGTTATTCCTCAGCTTACGTATGTCTGAAGTGGGGTTATAAAAGCTTCCTTAGTGTTGTTGTAAGGATTAAAAAGGAATTAGTCCTCACCGTTCGCTAAACTTTGGCTGGGAGAGGCAGGCCTGTGCAATGACCGAAGCCTGGCTTGGGTGTCAGACCAAGGACATGGCCTTGGGAAGGCTCGGTGACCTCGGGCAGGCTTGGTGGCCTCTCGGTGCTGTTTCTGTCTCTGTGGAATGGCATAATGGCAGTGTCCATTCTGTAAGCTGCTACAGGACTGTGCTTAGCAACCTGGTTCAGGAGGAAGCTCAGCACGCCGTCCACGCATCGATGATGCTCAATAAATGTTAGCCACCACAGTTGGCCTTTAAAAAATGAGGCTATGGGGACCAGCAGTTAGCGTAATGGCTATGTCACTGGACTCCCACGTAGTCGACCATGGTTCAAGTCCTAGACCCAGTGACTTGAAACTCACACTGGGCATGTGTGCATACCCAGAATCCCGAGAAAAGAATGGATGAGAAGAGATTGTGGCATGGTCATCCCCCCTGGGGGGTCATTTCTCACTTTCTGTCTTTCTGTTTCTGTCTCTCCAATGAGCACGTGTGTGCTGTAGCAAAAATCTCTCCAAAAAATAAAAAGAAAGAAAGAAGTTGAAGGTAGACACGATCAGTGGCACATTAATGACCCTTTATGCTAGTCTTCCACATCAGAGTTTGTTAAGTTCATTAATTAGGCTAATTCAAATCAGACTGATTAAATTCCAACCATTTGTCCAGTTCTCTGCCTCTTTATTGATTTAATATTTTTTCTTAATTTGCAGTAGGGCATGTTTTCCAGGCTGCTGAGTCTGGGACTCAAACTGTACAGTTGGCCATGTGGGTTCCAGCTGCCTAACCACCACGCCCCAGGTTGGCGCAGCTCTCTGCCTCTTCCTGTTGTAGTCAACTCAGCGAGAAATAAGAGGACTTCCAGACATAGCCAAGTTATTGGAGTTTTATTGCTGGCGGCTCATGGAAGGACTCATGTCTCTCAAAGACCCTGGGAAGGACTCATGTCTCTCAAAGACCCTGGGAAGGACTCATGTCTCTCAAAGACCCTGCAGGCCCGAGTGAAAGGAGAGGGGTGCTTATAAAGGCAAAGATCACAGTCATTTCTGAATTCACACAGTGGTGACAATGGAAGAGGAGGGAGTGAGGAGACAAGGGTTGGTTTCCTCAGCCGTATCCAGCAGGTTAATCATTCCTCCGGGCACTCGCCAGACTTTTGTTTAATGGTCCCCATGGCTGGGGCAGGGGGGGCCTGGTGATTGGTGATGACATTGCTAAGAAACACCTAGACAAAAAGGTTTCAGGCTAGTTAGCAAAAACAGTAAGACGATTAATCACTCTGTGTACTCTGGCTAAAAGGAGGAGGCGAGTGTAAAGTAAAGTTCAAAGATGGAGGTGCTTCTGCTTCACTCCCTCTCACTCCACACAGCCCGAGAGCCTTAGGACATATTTTTTTTTTAGAGGTTTTTGCTATAGGGCATGTGCGCTAGCCAGACAGACAGAGACAGAGAGACAGAAAGCGAGAAATCACCCCCCAGGGGGGATGGTCACGCCGCAATCCCTTCTCCTCCATTCTCCTCTCGGGATCTTGGGCACGCACGCACACGCGCCCGGCGTGAGTTTTAAGCCACCGGGTCCGGGATGCGAACTGTGGTCGACTACGTGGGAGTCCAGCAACATCGCCATTACGCTATCTGCTGGTCCCAGGACAGTTTTATAATAAATAGAGCACCGCCCTGGAGTAGTCATCCTCGTGGAGATGAACGAGCATCGAGCTTTCATTCCCAGATAAAGGACAGAAAAAAATCAGATCCCAAGACACTTATTCTCTGCCCTCCACCCCACCCGCATACCTGGCTCAGTCCTCTTTACTTTTAGGCCAGCCCCCCTGTGCTAGGCAGGCAGCTAGTGATGGGGTGGGGGTGGGGAAACAGCAGGACAGGTGCCACATCAGTCACAGTTTCTCAGGAGTTACAACCAGACCCTCCACGAAAAAGCCTTCTTCCCACCCAGCTCCTGGCGCCAGGAAGGCAAGGCAAATCCCACTTGTCTCCCTTGGTATGTGAGGGAGACACAGAGGGTCTTGTACATTTCCCACTTATTGTTCCTCATAAATACAGACAGACTCACCCAGACTTTTTGGTCAACATCCTGATTCCCACTAGGGCAATAAACTAATCGGGCAGTTCATCCTGATAAGGACCCGATCCTAGCATCCTGGCTCTCACTGGGCAGGTGCAGTTAGGCAAGCAATTCCTCAAATTCCTCACCTGTGAGAGAGCCGCTCAAGCCCAGGAAGAAGCCGGTGAATTCAAACAAAGAACATAGATAGTACGACAGACCTCCCACTTTAAATATTCATGGTCACCTCTGGTAATAAAAATAACACCTAACCAGTTCCAAACGCAGTTGCTACCAGCAACCTGCTCGCCCAGAAGTCTTTTGGGTATACTTCTTGTCTAAAACCTATCTTTCCTATTAAATTCTCTTGTCTACCTACTTTTTATCGTGGCTTTGGCTCTATTTTGTGCCTAGGGACAGGTCTCTAATTTTAGTGATCTGGAGGGTTTACACAGCGCAGCTCAACACTCCCATCCTCTGACGTTCCAGTTTTCCTGTCCACACGCCGTCTCCACCCCTGCCCCCTGTGAAGGTATTACTGCTGCTCTTAGAGGTCAGACGTGGCTGTTTCTCCCAGCCGGGAGCCAGTTTCGGTCCCAAGTCCTGTGCGTGTTCACCTAAGGACTGTCGCCTGTTTATACAGAAGTGCCGGGGCATCACCCTGGTCCGATACCTGGGATAGTTACATGATAAATGGCTATAGCGGAATTAAACATGAAGTGTTCACAGTGCTTTGGAAGATTTGTGTTTTAGAGGGTTTTTCGTTTGTTTATTTTTTGGTCTGTTCCCCCCCCCCCCCTAGGGCACATGTGTTTGCCAGAGAGACAGAGACAGTTAGAAGGACAGTGAGAAATCATCCCCTAGGGGGGACAGCCACACTGCAATCCTTTCTCCTCTATTCTCCACCTGGGATCTTGGGCACACACGCACATGCACCCAGAGTGAGTTTTAACTCATCAGGTTCAGGACTTGAACCATGGTCGGCCACGTGGGAATCCAGAGATATAACCACTATGCTATGCCATCTGCTGGCCCTGGAAGACTTTTTTTTTTTTTTTTTTGTAGATTTTGCTATAGGGTGAGTGTGCTCACCAGAGAGATAAAGAGACAGAAAGCAAGAAATCAGCCCTTAAGGGGGAATGGCCATGCCACAATCCCCTCTCCTCCATTCTCATCTCAGGACTCTGGGCATGCACGCACACGTGCCCAGCCTGAGTTTCAAGCCACTGGGTCTGGGACTTGAACTGCAGTCAACCACATGGGAGCCTCAACCACTATACCACCCATTGTCTCCACTTTTGGAAGAATTTTTATTCAAGCAGAAAAATGCTCATGAGTATTGAGGATAAACAGTGAGCTGGTACACACATGTCCACATAGAAATATCCTGATCATGAAAGTGTGTGTACGTGTGTGCACGTAAATACATATATATCCCTGGGAAAATAAAACCAGGAAGAAATAAGCCTTGATGTTTCATGGCCCTGGGATTTGTCACATGTGGGCATCACTCACCTCAATGTTTTATCTACTTCGGATGAAATTTCAATGAGCATGTACTACTTTTATAACGAGATAGCATGCTAAGATTTTTTTTTTTTAATTTGCCAGAGGGCACATGTGCTTAGCAGAGAGAGACGGGGGAGAGGAAGAAAGCACCCCCAATGTGGCGTGATCACACCGCTATCCCGTCTCCTCCATTTCCCCACCCTGTCAATGTTTTGTGCACACGCGCACATGCGCCCAGTGAGTGTTTCAAGCCTCTTGTGCTGGGACTCGAACTGTGCAGTTGCCCACATGGGATTCACGTCTCTCAACTGCTAGGCCATGGGGCTGGCTTAGCTACCCAAGGACACATGGACACTTATTCTTAAGAACAGAAATTTATTTCACACCATGGAAACTTCAAAAGTCATTACTGACCCTCACCTGAGTGGTCTTTCAAGTTACATAATTTAAAAAGAGGTAGAGACGGGAAAAACAACAAAAAACCCCCAAAGTGTAAAGTGGAGTGATCAGTTACGAATGTATACACGGCTGGCGGCCACTGCATAGCACCCGGACACCTGCTTGCCCGCTTTCGGCTCTGGCTCCGCCTCAGCCGGCACTGCGGTACGGGGCTTAGAATGAAGTTTGCTACCCTTTCTGCACTCAGTCCCAAATCATTCTGTTTGTTTGATAGGAAAGGAGTCCAATGCAGTGTGCTCTTACTGCTGTAAAAGGATGTTTGCATGTTTTAAATAAGACTTAAAAAAAACCCAAAAAAACAAAAACAACTTCTTTCAGCCTTTTAGATTCATTGCTGGCTGCTCAGAAAACAGTTGTCTTGGTTTGGTTTACAAATTAAAGGTCTTCCCCACCAGGGGATTCCAATGGCGTGTCCTGCCACCTGGGGATAGAGGTCAGGGCACGTGCTGGGGCCAGCCCACCCTCAGTCGGCTTCCTGAGCTTCACATCTTTGTCTGTGAGTCAGGCTCCATGGAATACGGGTTCCTGTTTTCCAGGTACTTTTTCCTTTCCTCCTCATCGAACTGAGCTTCAATCTCTGCCGGGTTGACGTACGTGTAGAACTGAGCCATGATGGCGAAGATGATGCACACGACCAGAAGCAACGCAGCAAACAGAACGTACTCGGCCCACTTCAGAGGGGTTGGATTTGGAGCAAGAAAAGGCAAACAAACAGAAATACAGGCCATATTAATGTACACGGCATGCGTATTTTCTTGCTGTCTAGACGGAAGGTGTTTTGAAATTAAATGGGTAGGAGGATTGGTAAGCAACCCAGACTTACGCAGCGTGGCTAGCTTTTCTTGAATGCCCCCGCGTATAGAGGACATTTTCTTTTCTTTTTGGAGAGGTTTTTCACTATAGGGCGCGTGCGCTCGCCAGACAGACAGAGAGAGACAGAGAGACAGAAAGCGAGAAATCACCCCCCTTGGGGGATGGCCACGCCGCAATCCCTTTTCCTCCATTCTCCTCTCAGGATCTTGGGCATGCACGCACGCGCGCCCAGCGTGAGTTTTAAGCCACCAGGTCCAGGATGTGAACCATGGGCGACAACATGGGAGTCCAGCGACATAGCCATTACGCTAACTGCTGGTTCCCATAGAGGACATTTTCTAACAGCACCAGGGTGCAGAAAAACAAGACTTTGGGAAGATGAGAGAACGTTTCTGAAAAACCCAAGCCTGAAGTCACCTGGTGGCCCCCTGGGAGGTGGGAGACCAGGAGAACACCAAGCAGGGTCCTTGAAGAAAAGAACTTGCTGACTTGCCCTCAGAGAAGATCCCCATCTTATCTCTTGGCCACACTCGGAGCTCATGAGCACGAGGCATTAGCCACCCTCGGATGGGAGCCGGGGCAGGAAACAGTGCCATGATGGGGTATCCGACACCACCCTTATGAGGCAGATATGCCACAGCGCTGAAGGAAAGGGTTTAAGTATTAGGGAAGCTCTCATTTCCTTTCAGCTGGAGAAACTATTGCCACTTCTAGAGTGGCTTTAACTTCTAGAGTGGCTTTAACTATCGCAAAAGCTTCTGGGTAATGTGTCTGATACGGGGCTATCAAGCTGTGTTCATTGAAGCTAAGAGATGTCTCCTTTGATAGTAAACCACATCCAGATGTATGGCTGTTAACCCAGTCTGCTTATCTTGGTTGTCAGTTTCCATCAGAGTAACACCAAGTGGAACTAAGAAGCACTTTGTATCCCGCCAGCATTTTGATGGGGTCGGGACCATTTGGTTGTTTCAGAACGCAGACTCTATGGGCTATCTAACCCTGCGAGCGGTCGTTAATATTTTTCCTACTTAGAATTCTAAAGCTTTAGTCTGTAACTCTGGGATCGCAGACACACTACTGCCAGGCCCTCTGCCTGGTCTGGCAGTTGCGTTCAGCA